AATGTCGCCCATGCTGGAAAACAGAAGGTTATACAATATTTTAGCCGGAAAATCTTGGAAAGACTGTTTGAGGCTAAAATCATCTGAATTATCCCGCAACTAGCAGTCGTGCTGCTTCTAGTTTGAATCATCAGTATCACATAAAAGCCGTGCTGGCAAGGTTCTTCCATGCCTTATATAAACAAGTGCGATATTTGTGGGCGTTTGCTAGCGAAAGCCTTGAGAAAGGCGACTTAGTTCGGCTGAGACATGGCAAAATATTCTGTTCTGCAGGTATTCCTACCATTAGGCTGATTTGAGAAATACTAATATGGGTGACGAAAAAGTTTATAAATGATGACACACGGTCTAGTACAGCATTTAAGGTTGTTATTTGGAGATAAAGAATAGAAAATGCAAAAAAAAATTTTAGTCTCACCACCGTTCAGGAGTGACGACGTTTTTATGTTGATGTCGCTTTGTATTATTGTGTCCGTTTGATGTAGGCTGTGCTCTGAGAGTTTGTGGAATCACAATTGGTTGAAGAGCATGTATCAGACTGGAATGGTAGTACAGGCAACAAGTCCCCGCTATACGAAGAAATAAGTACCCTAAAATGCTACAAAGAGCATAATTTACTGTCTTTCTTCCATTGGAAACAAGGAAATTGGTTAAAATATTAGATTAAAAAGTATTTCTATTTCGTAAAAATTGACAATCGCAGAGATAAAGGGGCATCAATGTAAGAACGTCGCAACTCTGAAACGGGGCGAATCCGGAAAAACTTACATTTTATGCTCCAAATGATATTCCAAACAACCTCCGTTAAGTAATGTACCAGAAGTTTGAATCACTCTGTATAACAGAAACGAGAAAGGATCACGGGAGAAAGAGGGGTGGAGATAAACACACGAAAGAATGTAAAGAAAGAAAGAAAGATGGCAAGGCATATCACGCGGAATTTCATCGGGCCGTCACAAGCAGAACAGGTACTTTGAACATCGTCCGCCTCCGTGCTTTATCGCCCCCCCCCCCCCCCAGAATTTGCATGTGATTGGGTCGGAGTATGTGACAGTTACCTGCAGTCCAATAGGGCCGTTTATATCAACCATGGGGCAGCTGGATCTGTGCTGCTGCTGGAACTTGGGCTGATAAGGCTCCAACATACGGATTTTGCCCCACCGGTTAAAAAACAGGGCAATGGCTGCTATCCACAAAACCAACACCAGTAGTACGATCAGAGCTTCTTCAGCCCGGACGACAATGGGGGATGTTCCCCCCGCTCCCAGTGGGGGCGGAGAGACTGAAGGTGACGTTGGAAGCGTCGGCGCCAGTGCAGGAGGCCGAGGACGGTTTCCGCGTTCAACTGGCTCTGGAAATTCTGTGCTGCTGAAATTTCTCATCAGCTTCTGAGGAAATATTCCTGCGGAGAAAATAAATAACTGACAGAAAGTGCATTTGGAGACGTAGGTGAACAAGAGGAAACAATTAAGAAATAGAATGTGAAGATGTAAGACGGCTTATATAGTTCTGGGTAGGGAATAATTGTGGATTTTTCTGAATACGATAATTAACTTCGGATTCCATTAAATGCAGGGAAATGACCGATAAGCTCAAGAAGAAGAAAAAAAGACACTTCGAATTCGTGTTAATTTGCAATAATAAATTGAGACTAGTTATATATACTCACTTGTGACCCTGTAGCCATCGTTAATTGTGGTTTTCGCTTTATGGTGGTTAGGACTCCCATGCGAAGCCCCGATAGGTTCCAGTGTGCCGTCGCGCACAGAACTGTCGTAGTTCAGACCTCAGAACTGCGGATAAACAATGCAGTGGGTGAGAAACCAATACCAAGGTCAACATCTCGTGGGACAATTGCCGTAACTGTGAGGCTGGTGCTCAGAAATGATTTGCCTTTGAGAAGAAGTCTAAACAGGAACTGAATTTTAAAATATTAAATTAGTTCCGTGTTCAACTTCTTAATACGAAAGTGTCTGTCTTCTGGGCTGTAGCGCCGTGTAATCTGGTAGAGGTTTACCGTCGTTTCAGGTTCATTGCCGTGATAATGGGGGCAGCAAGGACCTCTGTGTTTGCGACTAATGAAATTATTCTAGCCAATGGAGTGTAATAAATGATTGCATGGTATAAATGCGATGTTGTAATTCCGTGTAGCTACATTACTGAAATTTACAACACAAACTCTTCCGGAATTTTGTCAGAATTGAACACGTGAATATTATTTTACTTTATTATTGCATGTTCTGTATGGACCTACTATTGCATATACATTTTGTGTTCGAATTCGTTTGAAGATTATTTTAATCGTTTAAGTAGTCATAGTACAGTGACTGACAAAGCTTCAATGGAGACTGATGTAGTTTATTTCCATGCTTGTGTTCTGTTTAACTTTCAGTAGTTTAATATTTGACTAAGTAATATCTATCCCTGCATAGAAATTGTCTCTTCTGTGAGAGGAGTGAAGTGGTAGGGTGGGCCGTGTTCAAACGTTGCACGTACAGTGATAGTGAGATGTTAAACGTTGACAGGCGGGGTTATGAATATGCAGGACTGGGGGGACAACAGGACCGACATAAAGCACACACGCAATTATAATGCAACAAACTCATTTCCCGATATGTAATTTTGACAAACATTATCGGTTTAATCTCAAATGCTTTCTTTCACGAACAAATGACTTCATTAATTGATTCTAAAAGCGTCATGAATATTGAAACAGCGAATAAATTGTAGTGCTCTGTCGAGTGCTGCACTGTGTTGTTACGAAATCAAAAATAACCCATCCAAGATGCCATTAAACCCTTTAAGTCCATTGGTAACCATATGTGCCATCTGGTTTAACAGTTTATATGGAAACCACTGATCATCATGTAATAGTTCTTCATCTGCATGGCAGGATAATAATGTCATATCAATTAGAGTAGGCTGCATTACGAGGATTTATTCAGTGAGAAAATATACGAACAGGGCTGTTACCTGGCGTAGTGATGGTTTTGAAGCACTACCTTTTTTGTGTGCATAAAATAAATAAAGAGTTCTACTGTTTCCTCTAGAATGCGATCTCTTAATGAATGCCACTGCACGGGGGGAGGGGGGGGGGAGAGTGTACATAATTCATTTTGAAACCAGTTTGTTTAGCATTTCCCAGCGTGTATTGTGAAGCATTTTCATTTAAACTTTGTGTTGTAATAAAAAACGGAAAAACCATAGAGTAGAAGCAGATTCGAGCATTTGGAACTTTGGTGGACAGAACAGAGTTGCTGCAGATTCACATCACAGGATACAGAATGAGTAGCATCAAATTTTCATTTTACATACTCTGCAATAAATTGCTGTACAGTTTCAAAAAAGCCTGTTTTTACGGTACATTTTTGAAGCGTTCTTTTGTGCGAAAATCCTAAAATGAAGGTACTGTATGAAATCGTGCCTGTGCGTCCACACGTATCGTCGAAGAATTACTTTGATGTATTTTGACAACATTTGATTTTGGAAGCCTGCACGAAAGCTGTTGGTCTAATTTGAATTTGGTTTATGTCAGTCTGATATAACTCCTACTGCACAAGAATTTTTTGTCGAACATTGTCACTTAAAGGAGAAACACAAGCTTAATACTTTTGTAAATTAATGGGTGTGTTTGGATTTTGTACTGTCTTAATACTATGCTTTTCGTTTGTCTAAATTGTTGTAATATTTATTATAGTTCATAGAAAAAAGTAAGATACGGTGTTAGGTGCGAATAATAAATAACAAGTGTGACAGAATAAATATGAAGATTAGAAATTTATGTTTTGAAAAAGCGCAGTGTGTAACAAGCTTGACTTTACATATAATATAGTGCAATTTAAAATATTAGAACGGAAACATGTAATTAAATATTTGGTGCCACATAAATCCTGAAATATTGCGGTAAATTTATATTTATCTATCCACTCTAGTATAACACAGGTGTGCATTATTAATAAGATAAATAGCCATTTACCAAAGAAACAGAATAAAAATGCCTGTCCTCTGGGTTGTATCGGTTTTCCTCATCGACGATTTGCTCTGATAATGGAAACGCACTAAATCGGCTGAGAACCACTGATACAAGCCAGCGGGCTAGCAAAGGGAAACACAGTCGCACTGTTAATATCACGAACAACTGCATAACGCTGTCTGCGTAATAGTTGCCTTCTCATAGAACGCATTATTTTTGTGTGATACTAGCAAGGCTCTGTATATGGGTGAAGGGATGAAGTTACATCTGTGAGTTGAGTAAGCCATTAGTTTCATCCTGACCTCATGCATGTTCTGCTGAGATCTCAAAGGATTCTAGGGGTGTATAAAACCTGGTCACCAGATCAAAGCTACTTTCCGTGTACTTATGGCACAGACGAGAGTAAATTCCACCACATGCTGCTTATCTACGTTTCTTTCATTGAGTACGCCGCGATAGAGCGGCAACTTCTCCGACACCTCTTTGTTGCTTGTAATCTAAACATACAATTGCAGGCGCAATGTAAAACGCCCCAGTCCCTCATACAGTTACAAGTGTTTGCATCTGATTTATCCATGAGCAGATTAATGATACTATATCAACTGAACGAATTGAAAAGTATGGGAGAGTGATTACAATCAAAGAAATCGGAAGCCCATTTTGATATACTACCCTGAAACTTGTGTAACAGAATAGACAGAACCCACGAATGCCTTCAGGACAGACGCCATCCGCTATAAGCATTTACGTTTAAACTTAGCCGAGAAAGTTATTCCACATATACAAAAGGGGTTAGAAGTCTGAAACGTCTGTTAGGATAAGTTAACATAACATTTCAGTTCAGTATAGAAGGCAGCTACATTTTATGATTTGAAAGCTTCCAATACAATAGCTTGATAACCAACGCTGTCCTGTGTAGGAACAATGGAATTTGAATGACGCAAACAGCGCGAGTGATAAGAAATATAGCGTGGAGTTAGGTAAATAAAATCTCGGAATCCAGGAATATGAAATAACGTTACCAACGCCGGCCTATAATACGAAAGGGATTTAGAAATAAAACAAGAAATAATTTCAAAGGGCGACAACACCTAGACGCTGAAAAAATATTTATTGCATTTATTTATAATAGTAATATGAGAATAGTAAGTTTTTTAATTTTAATTTAAATTGTTATTTCCACTTCGAAAACGCTGTATGCAATAAATTAATCTCTCAATACGTGTAAGTATTTCCAGGTAGATATATCCTGTGTAGCGTAAAATATGAACGATGGCGGTGTAAATGATGAATAATGCTTATGGCAACATAAATTCACATAGTCTGATATTTAACACATAGTCTACAGAACTTGCAGTAATGAAGTGTAAACAAAAAGTGTAGTGGTGAATGTCTTTTGTCTTAGTGTACTGTAGTCTGCGTCTCATTGTGCATTGTTTTACCGTAGCCTTAGTGTGAACTGCATAAATACCACTGTGGCAACACACGCTTTTTACATTCAGTTTACTGTATTAATGAAAGCTCTTTTTATGTCTCCGTGTTATTCTTTTACATCTCTTTGTTTTTTCATTCAATCCTTGATGATTTAATTTAACTACCCATTGTTTAATTTTCTATATTCTTTCCTATGTACATAATTATTTCTTCCTTCCTGCCTTAGTTTCATAGCAACAGCGACCTTGGATACCAGTGCCCTAACGCTCTAACTCAGCGGCTTGGCGTTGCTACAACGAAAGCACGAGATGTGATTTCAGTTCCTTCTGAGATATTTGTCACTCATCTTGAAACAGTATTACTCGTTGGCTCAGTTTCGTAGAAAGAAAAACACTAAAAGTTCTAAATCCAAACAATTATGATAGTTTACATCTGCAATACTGGTTTGTCTGCAATGCACTCTAAGTGTGGCATTCATGACTTTTCTTTCTTATAACTATATCGACAACCACAAATTATTCCACCCGTAGCAATTTAATATAACAATTACCTTACTGGCACCTGGCTCAGTATAAATTAATTTTTTAAAATTGTGAACAGCTACAGAACTGTTTTTATTTGTAGATATCAACCCAATAATAATATTACCAAATTCATTAGTATTTAATATTTCTGCTATGCTTATCATCTGCCTTGATTTGATACAGGGGATTGTAAGAAACCTTATCACTTGTCGATCATTAAACACCAAGTGATTTCTTTGCTTCCTGTTAATTATTCTGGTAAAAACCGTGTTTCGTCTTGTATTCTCTAATGTTCAAGTTCACATTTGGCCTGTTGTTTTAGTACAATTAAAAACATTGTCAGTTCTACATGTCGTTAACGAAAGTCCAAACATTCGTAAAATATAAATACTCCTATGATTTATGAAAATTAACTTCGTGAGATTTAAATTTTAAAAAAAATGTATATAAAACAAAGCAGCTTGTGTTATAACTCAGTGTAATCTCGACTGAAACTCTCGTATGTTCCCTTATTTTTATTTTTTGTATTGCTCTCTGCAGAACACTAACTCGTGACAGCATCTGGGTACAAATCGTAACAAGATAATAAGCTGAGATTGACAGCATTAAATCGACAACGCTATTAAGTTAAATCTTTCGTTAGTTGCCTGCACTTCCGCTACATTTCGATGTCCACAAAAGCGTCCGTGTTTACTGCAGCGCCAACTACGCAGTAAAACTTATTCTTTCAATATTTTTGAAGTTCTTCACAGAATGGTTTCTAAATCGTCTTCGAGTAGTGATTTCAAAGGAATTTCCCACACAGTCAAGCTTTGTTATGGTTTTGAAATTAAGAGAGCTTCTTGTGAACACTGCGTGTGTT